GCCAATCCACCCTAACCTGCACATCTTTGGACCATGGGAGGAAACCAGAGCGCCTGGAGGAAACCCACGCAGACACGGGGAGAATGTGCAAACTCCACACAGACAGTCTCCCGAGGCTGGAATCAAACCTGAGTCGCTAGCACTGGGAGGCAGCAGTGCTGACCACTGAGCCACTGTGCCTTAGTTGAGACAAATTGTCTCAATGCATTTAATGAGAAGCTAGTTAAAGATATGCGGAAGGAATAGAGAGATCTGCTGATGGAGTGAGATGAAGAGAGATGGGAGGAAGCAGCATAAAGACTAGCATGGAGTGGATGGGTCAAAGGGATCAGTTTCTGTGCTGTAGACTCCATGTTATCAAAGTGGCCATAGTTTCCCAATGAGCAGAAGGTAACAGCAGCAACATCTGGAGAGTTTTGTAAGTGTGAGCTCATCCCCTCAAAAATACAACTGAGAGACATTTCCCACCATGAATACAAATCCTAAGCGCTTCAGTTAAAGGGTAATTAATGCACATCAGGTGGAGATGGCAGCTGCAGTATGCTCGAAACAGCAAAGAACCTCATTGTGATCCTTCAAAAGCTCACACCAACGACTCCAAACCTGAAAATATATTTTTCCAAATTTCAATTGGAATGTTGACAGCATCATGCGTTCAGACAAGGAATCTAATCGCTCTGTGTACACAGATGCTGTTTTTGATGAACCTCTGACCTCGTCATCTAATAATCCATCAACAAGCCCATTAAAATATCCTTCAGCCCATCTCTGAAATGCATTGCTCATCTTGCTATGATTGTACTATATCAGTCCTGGGTGTTGTTGTAATCATTTGCTACAGGCTGCTTTTTTACTGTTTAATTACTTATAATAGCACGTCAGGGGATGGTAAGGTTTATATGAAAAAATACTCAGATCTCATAATCCATTTCCTTCTCAGTGATTCCCTATTGCGCAACCTTTAATTAATTCCTTTTGAATGCTGTATTCTTCTTGCCATATTACTCAGCTGCACGGCATGCTTAATCTCTGTCGGGGTTTAACTCAGATAATTAAGCTAGTGTAGCACACAACAGTCACCCTGCACTTTGCTCAACGGCCAGTCATTCAGAAATAGTGAGAGAAAAGGAAGACCTGCATTTACATAGCACCTTTCACAACCTCAGGGCATCCCAAGTTGCTTCAGAGCTACTGAAGTGTGGTCATGTAGGCAACATGGCAGCCAATTTCGACACAGCAAGATCCCACAACCAGAAAACGATGACTAGATACTCTGTTTTTAGAGATGTTGATTAAGGGATAAATTTTGGCCAGCCGAAAATCTGGAATTAAAACTCTTAACATGATCATGGAACCGTTATCACTTATTGTAGAAACCCATCTAGGTCACTAATGCTTTTTACGGAGGGAAATCTTACCGTACTTACCCCCGGTCTGGCCTACATGTGACTCCAGTCCCACAGCAATGCCTCTGAGAATGGCCAAGCAAGCTGTTCAGTGCATCATCTGCTAGAAAGGGAAAAAGGCTACCTAAGGCATGTGGGACTGCAGCAGTTTGAGAAAGCAGCTCACAGGGGCCACTTGGGATGGGCAATAAATGCTTGCCCAGCCAGTGATGTCCAATCCCAACAAAATGAATGGAGTGAATCAAAAAGAAACTAAGCAGTTCTGGCAGCTTCCGTGGAGAGCAAAACGGAGTTGGGACTTCGAGCCTGGTACAACACTTTCAGCTCTGAAAAAGTGTCACCTCAGATTCTGTTAACACCTTCACACTGTTTCTCTCTCCACCGAATCAGCCAGAAACCTCCACTGAGCTTCTCTGGCATTTTTTGTAGATGTGTTCTAATTGGCCTCAAATGTTCTGAACAACAAGATAAGTCACATAACACCAGGTTTATTTGAAATCCCACAAATTTTCAGAGCGCAGCCCCTTCATCAGGTGCATTGAGAGAGAAGAGCACACAGACCCAGAGTTTAAAGGCAGAGAGATCAAGGGCAGAGAGATCAAAAGATCATACAATGGGTGTGAGTGAAGTGTCAGATGATAAATCTCTGCAGGTGACCGAGACTGTTGGATGGTGAGTAAAGTGCCAACAGCTGAATAACAAGCGAAGAGATGACCTATAATCTGATTAAGTGAGGCAGAGAGATAATTACAAAAAATTAAAAGTAAGGTGGTGCTGGAGACAAACTAAATGACTGGAATCGCATGCCGAATTCAAAACTGTACAAACTAACTAAGGTAGAGAGATCAAAACAAGTTATCCAAGTGATGCTGTCAAAACAGGACAGTGAGGAAGGTTTTACAGATACAGAACTGTGCGGTGGGGTCACATGTAGCGCGACATGAACCCTAGATCATTGTAAAGGCCATCTTCATGGATATGGAACTTGGCTACCAGTCTCTGCTCAGCGATTCTGCGTTGTGGTGTATCTCGAAGTCTGCCATGGAGGACACTTACCAAAGATTGCAGGTTGAATGTCCTTGACCGCTGAAGTGTTCCCCGACTGGGAGGGAACATTCCCGTCTGGCGATTGTTGTATGGTGTCCATTCATCTGTCATTGTAGCATCTGCATGGTCTCACCGATATACCATGCCTCAGGGCATCCTTGCCTGCAGCGTATGAGATAGACAACGTTGGCTGAGTAACATTGGCCGTGCATGTGATGGGTGGTGTTCCCACGTGTGCTGGAGCATCCAGTACTTCCCTGGAGTGGGGAAACTACATTATGTTCTTCACAGCCTTCATTATGTCATTGATCGCCAAGATCATCTTACGCGTCCACTTTTCACCTTCAAAAAACCACCAAACCTTAAACAGACCATCATTCGCAGTGAACTACCCAGCCTTTGGGTCAACATCGGCCACAACAGCACACAACCCTGCCATGGCAACCTCTGCAAGGCATGTCGGATCATCAACATGGACACTACCGTTACACGTGGGAACACCACCCACTACATGCACGGCAGATACTCATGTGACTCGGCCAACGCTGTCTATCTCATACACTGCAAGCAAGGATGCCCCGAGGCATGGTATATTGATGAAACCATATAGACACTACAATGACGGATGAATGGATACCGCACAACAATAGCCAGACAGGAATGTTCCCTCTCAGTCGGGGAACACTTTAGTGGTGACGGACATTCAGCCTTCGATCTTTGGGTAAGTGTCCTCCATGGCAGACTTCGAGATACACAACAACGCTGAATCGCCTAGCAGAGACTGGTAGCCAAGTTCCATATCCATGAAGATGGCCTTTACAATGATCTAGGGTTCATGTCATGCTACATGTGACCCCACCGCACTGTTCTGTATCTGTAAAACCTTCCTCACTGTCCTGTTTTGACAGCATCACTTGGATAAATTGTTTTGATCTCTCTACCTTAATTAATTTGTACAGTTTTGAATTCGGCATGTGATTCCAGTCATTTAGTTTGTCTCCAGCACCACTTTATTTTTAATTTTTTGTAATTATCTCTCTGCCTCACTTAATCAGATTATAGGTCATCTCTTCGCTTGTTATTCAGCTGTTGGCACTTTACTGACCGTCTAACAGTCTCGGTCACCCGCAGAGATTTATCATCTGACACTTCACTCACACCCATTGTATGATCTTTTGATCTCTCTGCCCTTGATCTCTCTGCCTTTAAATTCTGAGTCTGTGTGCTCTTCTCTCTCAATACACCTGATGAAGGGGCTGCGCTCTGAAAGCTTGTGGGATTTCAAATAAACCTTTTGGACTATATAAAAAAGCCCGAAAGAACTGTGGATGCAGTAAATCAGGATCAAAAACAGAAGTTGCTGGAAAAGCCCAGCAGGTCTGGCAGTATCTGTTTAGAAAAAATCAGAGTTAATGTTTCAGGTCCAGTGAACCTTCAGTAGCTAAGATTTTATTGAGTGGGGATGCAGGCTCAGGTGATCATAGTGCACATTTCTGAACATATTTTTAAATATTTTAATCTTGTATTTAAAATTTGGCAGACCAAGAAACTAGAATCCAATTTGCTTTTTTACTTTGGAGTGAAGGGTCTAGGCCCAAAACATCAGCCTTTCTGCTCCTATGATGCTGCTTGGCCTGCTGTGTTCATCCAGCCCTGCACCTTGTTGTCTCTGCTTTTTTACTTTATTTTCCCACTTAAGTTCTTTTTGGGCAATGGGCTATGTTGGCCTTTCCTTAAATGTTTAGACCTACATTTGAAGCCTCTGTAATAAAGATGAGCATTCGTTTTTCTAATTACCTTGTTATCTTTGTGTGTTAAATTTTTGTGATTTTTGTACAAGGACACCCAGGTGTTCCTCTGATATCAACATTACACGGTCTCTTATTATTTAAGGAAATATCGTGCATTTCCGTCTCCTCTTCCCAAAGTAGATAACATCAGACCTCTGCACATTACATTCCATCTTCCATGTTTTCGGCCTACCCACGTAACCAGCCTATATTTTTCTGCACTCCTCTCGCAGCCTATATTCCCACACTGCATCCCCAATAAACATAGATACATTTATACTCAATCCCCTCATCTGAAACATTGATACAGATTATAAATGTTACAGCCATGAATGGTTTAACTTTGACAGCTCTGTAACAGTGTGTTTCTTGAAACGTGGATCTCAAGCCAAGGCTCATAGTATGAGATTCATCAAGTTTAAATGGAGTCAAGAGATTGGGGTGGGGTAGAAATTGACTAAATTTACTAACAGGCTTTTGTCAAAAACCTCCAAACTGTATAAGGAAGACAGCAGTGAGGAAACAGCCAATGATGTGAAGCCTATAGTTGGATTTGTGCGTGATGTGACATCCTGGAAGATAATCAGTAAGAATCTAACTTCAACATCGTGAATGGCAGGAGGAAAGAGATACGCTAAAGGATGGGATTTTGGTATCTCTTGTGAAAAGAAGAGATCAGCGCTGACCACAGTGTTATTGTTTAAACACAAAACACCCATGCACAGTCCATGGATAATTCTTTTGGTCATGCACTCACCTGTCTAACAAAGCTGTTGGATGTTGTATCTGAGGATGTGCTACCATCGGAGCGTTTGAAACGACTTTTCCTTTTGGCATACTTTCCCTTTTGAACAAAAAGAAAGAAAAATCAGTTAAGCAATCTGTAACAAACCAATGCCTCTTTCTTTAAAAGCTGATCTCTAAACTGGAAGCTTTCTCAATGGGTTAAGTTGGTACACACGCAGTGCAGCATCTCTGAGTAATTCAAGAACACAAGGTCCTGGGTTTGATCTTTTGTCTGTCCCTGTGTTAGTGGAGACATTACAAGACTTGGAGTTGGAGAAGACCTTTCAAACATTCTTCAGCATTTAATAAGATCATAACTTGTCTCAAAAGAAAAGGACAGGAAGTTGGAGTTAAGAATTCATTAGTGGGATATGGGCATTGCTGGCTAGGTCAGCATTTATTGCCCAAATTCTAATTAACAGTCAAGCACATTGCTGTGGGTCTGAAGCCACATGTAGGCCAGGTCAGGTAAGAATGATAGACTCCCTTCCCTAGAGGCCATTAGTGAACCAGACAGGTTTTTACGACAATTGATTGTGGTTACAGTGGTCATCATAAGGCAAGGTATTTGTTGCAGACTTTTCTGAATTCAAATTTCACCATCTGTCAAGGTGGGGTTCAAACCCATATCCCCAGAACATTGGTCTAGGGTTCCAACTTGCTGTCCCAGTCTCATTACACTGCGTACCCTTAACTGTCTGATCCCCCAAATCTACCAAATTGATTTGGGTGCTTCAGTTAGCCTGACTGCCTCTGAATGAAGGCTAGGCAAAATTGCAGCCAGTTCCACTTCCTAGTCCGATTCAGAATTCCTCTGTCAGAAAGCGTTTGAGTGAGGACATCAGGTCAAAACAGAGTTTGACTGTGAAAGGTCATCCCTGTGCTATGGTCAATCTCACCATCAGCAACAACTGGAAAAAAGGGGCTTACATTTATATAATGCTTTTTATGACCTCAGGATGTTCCAAACCACATCATAGCCACTCTTCTTTGGAATCGCTTTCAGAATGTCGAAAACATAGTGATTGGTACACAGCAAGACCCCCAAAACAGCAATGAGATAATGACCAGTTTATGTCATTGGTTGATGAACAAATGCTGGTCCAGACACTGGGAGAAAACGCCTGCTCTTCTCTGAAACAGCACTGATACCCCCGAAAGAGTAGATGGATCCTCAGTTTAACTTCACGCCTGAAAGTTAATACCTCTGAGAGTATAGCATTTATTTAGGAAGGCACTGAACTGCCAACCTAGTTAGCATATTGAAAGCTTGGGAGTGGGATTCGATACACAATTTTCTGATTCAGAGGCGACAGTGCTATCCACTGAGCTTAGCACATCCAAAATTATTTCCCAGCATCAGTACAGGGAAAAGGAGGGGTACAAATGAAAGAAATATAGACACAAAGAATAAAATGCAAGAGTGTACAAAAATATCCATTGCAAACATACTTTAGTGGATACAGATTTAATATAAATAATCGATAAAAGAAAAACTGTAAAGGTAAAATCACCACACTCTCATTACAGATAGACGACTGATGGTGGTTTAACCTGATGGTCACCACACCTTGGGCAAGGAGGGGAGGTTAAGAAGGACAGTCCTTCATGGTAACCTATGCTGGTATCGGCTGTTGGCATCACAAACCAGCAATCCAGCCAACTGAGACAAGAACAGTGTTGAAACCAAGACATGCTGGAGACCACAGTGGGTAAGACAGATTCCATAGAAAGAAAGCAGGCTGGCATTTCACATATAGATGACTCTTCATCATAAGAGTCTTATTCTCAGTATTCTCTTATTCCAGCATCTGCAGTAATTTGCTGCAAAGAACAGTGTTAGAATGACTGATTGCACTCTAATAGAGATAGCACAAACTCGTTGGACTGAATGGTTTCTTTCAGTGCTGTAACATTCTCTGATTCTGTGCATTGTTTCAGTCAAAATTGATTACCGCTGATGGAGTTTAATCAGATAAATGTGAGGTGCTGCGTTTTGTAAAGGCAAATCAGGGCAGGGCTTATACACTTAATGGTAAGCTCCTGGGGAGTGTTGCTGAACAGAGACCTTGGAGTGCAGGTTCATAGTTCCTTGAAAGTGGAGTCACAGGTAGACAGGGCTGTGAAGAAGGCATTTGGTACGCTTGCCTTTATTGGTCAGTGCATTGAGTATAGGAGTTGGGAGGTCATGTTGCTACTGTACAGGACATTAGTTAGGCCACTATTGGAGTTCTGCATGCAATTCTGGTCTCCCTCCTATACAGGAAGGATGTTATGAAACTAGAAAGGGTTCAGGAAAGATTTACTGCACAAAGTGGGAGTTACTAAACACTTATTCATTGTAGAGCTCAAATGCAGCAATGAATGGGATGTGGTATCATAGTGGTCATGTTACTGTACGCATACTGTACTCAGAACCAAACCAATGACACAATATCATGAGCTCAATTTCTGGCATAGTAGAGAGTAAATGGGATTAGTTTACAATGGCATCTTGCTCAACACAGACATGGTGGGGCTGAAGGGCCTGTTACTGTGCTGTACTTTTCTATGTTCTAATGTTAATATTAGTAATGTATTAATATTAAACAAGATATGGAGGTGCTGGTGTTGGAGTGGGGTGGGCAAAGTCTGAAGTCACAAGACACCTGGTTATAGTCCAACAGGTTTATTTGACATCACAAGCTTTCAGAGCGCTGCTCCTTCGTCAGGTGAAACCAACTTTCAGAAAGAAAATCTGCCATCCTTACACAGTCTGGCCAAGACATGAATCCATTCCCACAGCTACATGACTGACTCTGAAATGGCCTAGAAAGCCCCTCAATAGGATGTTAGTGCAACACTTCAGTTTGAAGGTTTTTGGAAGTCTTTACGATTCCAGTGGTGTAAACTCAGGCATTACTAGAATAACTTTTGTTGTAGTTGAATTACAGCCAGAGTTTAGGACACTTGCTGAAGCTATAAAATAAGAAAGTGGTAACATTTATCCAGTAAATGTAATAATACCAATGTCATCCGAAACCAGATCCCAAACAACAGGATTTCAAAGAATTGGACGGGTTGGACGTGCAAGTACAGAGTGACATTGGGAGAAATTGGAAAGGAATTAAGAATTAAAGGCAAAAATGATTACTTGTAAAATACATTACATGTTCCAAGCTGCCCCACAGGCACACCAAAAATAACAACATAGGAGATTTTCAGGTGACAATGACAAATAGCTTGGTCAAAAAGAGAAGTTTGAAGGAGAGATTTTAAAGGAGACGAGAGGGGTCCCAAAGGCAGAGAAGATTAATCAGGGAATTTCAGAACTTACAGCTTCGACAACTGAAGCGACAGCGACTGTCGGCTGAGTAATTAAGATCAGGTATACGCAAGAGGGATGGATTTGTTGGACACAGATACCTAAAAGGTAGGGGAGAATACAGAGTTGCAGAAGTGTGAAGCTTTGGAGGTATTTGAAAAAGGGTTTACACCCAAAACGTCAGTTTTCCTGCTCCTCTGATGCTGCTTGGCCTGGTGTGTTCCTCCAGCTCTACACCTTCTAATCTCAGATTCTCCAGCATCTGCAGTTCCTACTGTCTCTGAAGGACTTTTAAGCTTCGTTTAGCCACGAGTCAGTAGGTCAGCAAGTACAGTGCTTTTAAAAGTACTTTTTTCACAAGATATGAGCATCTCTGGTCAGCATTTGTTGCCCATCCTTAATTGCTCCTTGAGAAGGTAGAGGTGAGCCAGCTTCTTGGACCACTGCAATTGATATGATTCAAATTATCCAGTGTTGTCAGGTCCAGACTCCAGGATTTTGACCCAGTGATAGTGAAGAAATGCCGACAGATTTCCAAGACAGGATGGTGAGTTGGCGGGGAATTTGCAAATGTTCCCATGTATCTGCTGTCCTTGCCCTTCTGGGTGGTAGAGGTTGTGGGCTTGAAAGGTGCTGCCTCAGAAGTTTTGGCTTGGTGTATCTTACATCTAGTACGCAATGCTGCTTCTTTGCATTGGTGGTGAAAGGAGTGAATGTTTAATGTGGTTGATGTGGTACTGGATGGAGTCAAGCTTCTTGAACGTTATTGGAGCTGCACCAATCCAGGCTAGTGAGGAGTATTCCATCACACTGCTCACTTGCACTATGCAGATCCTGGAGATGAACTACCTGGATGCTTGGCAAACAGGATTTGATTAAAAAAATAGGACACGAGTAGCAAAGATCCGGTTCATGGAGGGTAGAGATTGGGCGGCCAATCAGATGTACATGGGAACAATCAATTCTGAAAGTACCAAAGTCATGAATGAAAGTCTCATCAGCAGATGAGCTGAGACGGGGCAAAATCAAAGTTAAGGAGACCGCAAAAGGGGGAGGTGACAGCCTAGTGGTGTTATGGCTGGGCTGTTAATCCCGAGACCCCGATAATGTTCTGGGGACCTGGTTCAAATCCTGCCACAGTGGGTGGTGGAATTTGAATTCAATAAATATCTGGAGTTAAGAATCTGACAATGACTGTGAACCCTATGTCAGGAAAAACCCATCTGGTTCACTAAAGTCTTTTAGGGAAGGAAACTGCCATCCTTACCTGGTCTGGCCTACATGTGACTCTTATTGACTCTTAACTGTCTATGGGCAATTAGGGATGGGCAATAAATGCTGCCTGGCCAGTGACGCCCTCATCCCGTGAATGAATAAAAGGAAAAAAAAGAGGCAGTCAGTCCAGGAAAAAAAACAGTCCATCAATTTACAGCGAGATAGTGGAGGGGTCACTGCATTGGATGTGCAGCACAAAACAAAAGTCAGTTAGTTCGAGCATTGGTGATGTTTCTGGAATACATAACTAAACTACCGCTGTGAGCAGCAATGCAAGAAAATGAATTTGTGCCTAAGGAACTCCTCAGCCTGTCTCAAAACGATGAATGGTTTTGCACTCATGTTAATTGAACTGTATTTCAGTTTCAATGTCTATATTTTGTGCACGATTTTCTTTTGTCCCCAAGCTCAAGAGGATCAGATTTTAAGATAAACAAAACCCCTTTGGAAGGCGAGAAGAATTCTTTTTAAAATAAGTT